CATAAGGAATCTCCTAACCAAAATAATGGTCTGCAGGGGACAGAGGCCAGTCTTCTGGCAAGACCAGGAAAGAGCTCTAGAAACCATATCTCAGCAGACACTCCTCAGAAAGTGAATCCTCTCTCACAGAACAGAGATTAGTAAATGGAGGCAACTGGATTCTTACTTGGAATTTCTGTCCACAGGCTCTAGATACTCTAGAAATACAAGAAGAGTAGCTTGTCTACCTTCAGGAGCGATGGGTCATTTACAGAGTAGGGTGCATCTATGTTCTCAGTGCTGGGCAGTCCTAGTGATGAGTGGGTGCTCACAAAGAGCACCAGAGTCCCCCACCCCCTTTTGTTTTGTCAGTTGTGGGGCTTGAATTCTGGGCTTGGGTGCCATCCCTCAGCTCTTCAGCTCAAGGCGAGCACTCTACCACTTGAGCCACAGTGCCACGTCCAGTTTTCTAGTGGTTTATTGGAGATAAGAGTCTCATGGAAGCCAGGCGCCGGTGGCTCATGCCTGTAATCCTAGCTACTCAGGAGGCTGAGATCTGAGGATCACGGTTCAAAGCCAGCCCTGGCAGGAAAGTCCGTGAGACTCTTATCTCCAATAAACCACTAGAAAATTGGAAGTGGTGCTGTGGCTCAAGTGGTAGAGCAGTTGCCTTGAGCTGAAGAGCACAGGGACAGCGCCAAAGCCCAGAGTTCAAGCCCCATGACCAACCAAAAAAAAAACAATAAAAGAGTCTCACAGATTTTCCTGTCCAGGCTCGCTTTGAACTGTGATCCTTAGATCTCAGCCTCCTGAGTAGCTAGACTTACAGGTGTGAGCTACTGGTGCCCAGCACCATTGTCCTCTTGAGCTTTTCCTGAAGCTACCAGCAGAGGGAGCCCACATCTCACACGTGAAAGCTGATGAGATTGTGGGGCAGGGATGGACTTGGACTTGATGATGCTAACCTCCTTCAGTGGACAAAAGACCTACAGGACATTATGGTCACCGCTCCCTTCCTCAAGGCTAACCCCCTATCTCACAGTGTCAGTTCTCGCTGAGGAGCTGTCAGGTGCAGTGAAGGTCAAGCTAGTCTGGTCTGAGGTTAGGTCCAGCTAGCTGTTCCCTGATCTCATTTTTCCCACCACTTACTCCGGAGACAGCCTGCCACAGGGCTAGATTGTTAAAATGCCACTGTGAAGATAAGTTCCTCCATACCTAGCTGGTAACATGACTTCTTGGCCTCTGACCTCCACCCTCTTCTCATTCTTTTTCTCTTCGCTGGAAAGACTTGGTGGACCCCTAGGATGTCTTCTCATGACCCAAAGCCAAGTGGCCTTCTTGGGAAGCTGCTTACTGCTTATGCCACAGTCTTGGGGTGTGTTGTTACCAGGCTAGGTCAAGGGTGTCACATGATAGAGGGAAAATTCTGTTCAGAGATCTGAATGTAGCTTGAAGGACTCAGACAATTGTGCGACCATGTGACCTTAACAAATCACTTGGCCCCCTCAAACCTGTTTCCTTATCTGCTCAGCTGGGTTAGCTCTTTATTTCCTCCAATGGGATGTTTGTTAAAAATGGTTGGAAGCCGGGCGCTGGTGGCTCACACCTGTAATCCTAGTTACTCAGGAAGCTGAGATCTGAGAATCGAGGTTCAAAGCCAGTCCGGGCAGGAAAGACCATGAGACTCCTATCTCCAATAAACCACCAGAAAACCGGAAGTGGCGCTATAGCTCAAGTGGTAGAGCGCTCGCCTTGAGCTGAAGAGCTGAGGGACAGTGCCCAGGCCCAGAGTTCAAGCCCCATGACCGACAAAAAAAAAAAAAAAAATGGTTGGAGGAAATATAAAACATTACATAGGCATAAGGATGACCAAAACTGCAGTCTAAATTTGAGGCATGTGATGACAACTGGGTCTTGATTTTAGGTGGGTTTGTGTGTGTGTGTTTGCCAGTCCTAGGGCTTGAACTCAGGGCCTGGGCACACTCCCTGAGCTGCTTTTTTTTTCTGGTGGGGGGGGGTCCGGTTGTGGGGCCTGAACTCTGGGCCTGGGCACTGTCCCTCAGCTCTTCAGCTCAAGGCTAGCACTCTACCACTTGAGCCACAGAGCCACTTTCAGTTTTTTTCTTTCTGCTTATGTGGTGCTGAGGAATCGGACTCAGGGCCTCATGCATGCAAGGCAAGCGCTCTCCACTGAGCCACCTCCCCCCCAGCCCTCCCTGAGCTTCTTATGCTCAAGGCTAGCACCCTACCACTTGAGCCAGTGCCACTTCTGGCTTTTTCTGTTTATGTGGTACTGAGGAATCGAGCCCAGGGCTTCATGCATGCTAGGTAATCACTCTACTACTAAGCCATATTCCTAGCCCTCAAACTGTTTTCTAAAATTGACCATTCCCCAAACAGCCCAGGGTATGGATGGAGTCCCTATCCTTTCTACTGGGTATTGAACTTAGGACTGCTGGAGGATTGGGATGGAACCCTAGTTCAGAAGCACTTGTTAGGCAAGTATTCTACTCTCTGAACTGTTTTGTTTCCAACCATTCCAGTTGTTTTTTTGTTTTTGTTTTGGCCAGTCCTGGGGCTCGAACTCAGAGCCTCGGCACTGTCTTTAAGCTTCTTTTGTTATGGCTAGTGCTCTACCACTTGAGCCACAGTGCTACTTCCAGCCTTTTCTGTTTATGTGGCACTGAGGAATTGAACTCAGAGTTTCATACATGCTGAGGAAGCACTCTACCACTGAGCCACATTCCCGGCTGGGTTTTGTGGGTTATTCTTTGGGACAGTACTGGGATTTCAAATTCAATTCAGGGCTCCTTACTCAAGTTTGCTTGCTCTGCCTGGATGGTGCTCTAGCGCTACCACTTGAGCCACACCTCCAGCCCTCAGCCTTGCCTTTTTTCAGACTTTTCTGCTCAGGCTGGCCTCAAACCAATATCCCCCAGATCTATCACCTGAGTTAGAATTACAGGTCTAAGCCACAGGCATCTGGCATTTTTGTGTTTTGAGACAGGGTTTTGTGACACAGCCCTTGCTGGCAGATCCTGCTGCCTCCACCTCCTTTTGCAATAAATTGACCCAGATGCTGCAGGCTGGCAGCTTTATCTCAGGTTTCAGTGCAGGTTTATTTCAGTTTTATATTTTATTCCAGGCAAGTGCTTATTACATGGATAGTATTCATGTCTCGATACCTAAAGTTTTGGAGCATGAACAGCCACTAGAATACAGTTCAATAGTAAAAATACAATATGTACAAAATTAGGGGTTTTGTAGTTTTGTTTTTTCCCACACAGCAGATGTATCCAAACACATAAAAATCTCTACAGTCTGGGGTCGCTACAGTTTGTATTTCAGGAAACGGAGACACAGTGACCGAGTCCTCACTGTAAACAAGGGCCACCTCTTTAGGGGTTGGGGGTGGGACCCTGGGATGGGGGGAGAAGCAGCTATTCCCAGAGAGCAGGGGCTATATGGTGACCCCCAACTACCCTCCAGGTGTTCCCTGCCCTTCTTTGGCCCCCAAGGAACCACTCCCCCCTTCTCCCCGAGGTAAAGACTCCCAGCCAGTGAGTCACTCTGAACATCAAGGGTAAAACACGCATGAGAGGTAAGATGTGTGTGTGTGTATGTGTGTGTGTGTCCCAGGCTGGAAGGGCTAGGGAGGGAAGGGCTAGGTGGTCCCACAGGGTGAGGACAGATATGGTCCTAACAGCTTTCAGGGGGAAATGCCCAAGGAAGGGCCAGGAAGTGGCTGCCCGCTTGGGCACACAGCATCACAGCGTTCACAAATGACAAAAACAACAGCAACAACACCCATCATCACCAATCTGGACAGAGTCATTCGGCACTAGATCAGGACCCCCTACAAGGGGCGGGAGGGGGAGGGCAGGTGGATGATGAGGTAATCTGCAGGCCTGAGGGCAACTGGCCAACAGGAGTTTGAACTCTAGAACTGGCCTCAGGACACAAAGAAAAGTGAATGGGGTGGCAAGTCTGCCAAAGTGCTCCGTGCTGGCACCAAACCCTGCTCTTTCACTGTCACCAGAGTGTGGTTGTCTCCCCGCCCCCCACCCCCAGGGTGTGGGTGGAATGGCTGCAGAAAGCCAGCCAGCCTGTGGGGTAGATTGCCCTGCCACAGGCCTGAGTGGGGACCTCATCCTCTTGTCACCCCCACCCCACCCCGACAAATGGAAATAAGTCCCCTGGGAGGTCTCCAGGACCAGGAAGGAACTGGGAGTTGTTTAGGCATCTAAGGAATCTTTTATTTCAGGGGAAAATCCATTTAAGACCTCTGCTGGGGTCCTCAGCACTCTCCTGGGGCACTCCAGAAGATCCCGAGTTGGCCCCTCCTGGTCCCTCACACAACCGGACTCCAGTGCAAACTTAACACCTAGGGATAGTCACTTTCCCCACACCCAAAGGCCATTGGTGAGTGTCCAGTGGGGAGCTGAATGTGCATGTGTGCGTGTAACTGAGTGTCTTGACACAAGGCCACTTGTAATAAATATCCACACAAAGAGAAGCCAACGAAGTCTACCACGGCAGAGGCAGGGGCAGAGCGTCTCCTAGCACAGCACCCTCGCTCCTGACCCCAAGTGTAGCACTGTCCCTGCCCCTCCCATAATGGAAGATGGCAGTATGCTGCAGCGCCCACTAGGGAAGGGCCTTCAAACCTCCACTGGAGTAACGGGGAGACCAGCTCTGCCCCTTTTACAGATCCCAGGGCTGTTTGGGAAGGGGCACCAGGCTTTGGCCATGTCCCTGGACTTCATCTTCCTGAGGTCTCAACAATGTGACTTCTAAGCCTCTGGAACCCAGACCCAGAAAGGCCTGCCCCCAGCTCCTGGGAGGCCGCCCCACACAAGAGATCACAGAACCAGGGGGCATAAAAGCCAAAACAGGACCTCCTGGAAGTCTAATACCAAGCCCAAGATAGGGATAGGGGTACAGGATGGCTCCTTTCTGATCTCCCACAGCTCCAACTCAGCCTGCCCTCTGGAGGTCAAGAGCCAAGTGGGAGGGATGGGGAAGCTTGACATCAGCTTGGTTTATTGTTGGTAACCATTTGAAAGTTTCTACTGCAACGAATTAGTGACTCCGAGTGGGTTAGCGAGCACCAGGTCCAGGCCCAGGCCCCCACCTGTCTGGGCATGACTCTGGTCCAACCACTTCATCATAGGATCTGTCACCTGTACTCAGAGAAGGGCCCCTCATCTGGCATGGCCCCAGCTTTCAGGACCAAGTGGCTTCAGGTCTGCCCCCATTTTCTCTACAAAAGTCCCAGAGAAGGACACTGAAGCCAGGGTGGGAAGGCTGGGGTGCTTCGTCACCTCACCAGATAGAGCAATAGCAGCAGCACAGGAAGGAGGGCAGGGGAGGGAGAGCCAGGGAACATGAGGCCATTATCACTTTAGGGGACAGGGGCTGGCACTAGCCACACAGGTGGCACATCCACCAGCGTCCTCAGCAGTTATTCTATCAAGCCCTAGTACAGCGGGGTAATACCCTGCCCTGCCCCCAACTCTCTGGGAGCCCTTCCCTCCCCTGGCTCAGTGTCTCTGCACCCCCTTCCCCTAGGAGGCCTGGGGGTGGTGTGGGTTAGGTGGGCCTGGGCCTGGCTGGAATGTGTGGAGCTGGTGGGTAGGAGAGGGAGGGACAGGTCCCCCTCCCTGCCCCCACTGGGGGCCTCTGAGTAGCCTCATCCTCAGGCCAGCTTCAGTGTGCTGACTGGGAAGGAGGGCATGGTGACCATGGTCACTGGGTTAAGCACTGTCTGGCCTACCAGCTGGGGGTGGTGCACCACCTGAGCCCCCACAGCTGGCTTTGCCATGACAGTGGCCGGGGGCCCCAGCCCGGCTGTGCCGTTCACTTGCTGGTGTGAGAGGGTGTGAGCAATGTGGCTCACTGCCACTGGCTGGCTTACTGCCACAGGCTGTGGGTACAAGGGCAGCTGGGAGCCAAGGTGGGCCACGTGGTTGAGGGTGGCAGGGTGCACTGTGATGTGGCCGATGGGGGGCGTGGCAGGTGCTAGCTGCACGGCAGGGCTGGGGGCTGAGGGGGCAATGTGGGCAATGTGCTTGCCGCCTGGCCCCTGTAGAACATGGTTCACAGTCTGGATGACTGAGGCATGGGTGGTGGCTGTGTGGGCAATGACCGTGGAACCACCCCCAGCTGTGGCCACCAGATGAGCTGGAGCTGGCACCAGTGTCTGGGCAGGGGTGGCTGGTGGGGGAGGTGGTGCTGGCAGAGGGGTCTTCTGCGGTGGTGGCGGTGGTGGCTGCACGGGGAGATGGGCAGGAGACAGAGCCACTGGGTGAGGATGGGGGTGAGGATGTGGTGGCAGAGGTGCAGGGGCAGTGCTGGAAGGTGGCAGGGTAGACTTCAGCAGCTCCGGCTGGGGACGATGGCTCAGCTTAGGTGGGCCCAGGCCTGCCCGGTCCTCCTCCATATCCTCGTCTATGTTGTCCTCACCCTCTGTGGGGGAACAAGGAGCGGGAAGCAGATCAGAAGGGTACAGGAAACAAGTGTGTGGAGGCAAAGATGCCACTAGGGGCCTGGAGACAGGATGGGGTAGAGAGCAACTTTTCTAACAGACAAAAAAACCTGACCAGGGAAGCTGGACACAATGTCTAGAGGTGGGAGGGCTAGCATAGGGCCAGGGCTCACCAGAGGCAGTGGAGGTGGAGGCCTGGTCATCCTCAGGTTGGCCCGTCTGCCGGAGTACACGGTCGATCTCCAGCACGTCCATCCACTGACTCAGCTCATGTTTGAGCTCTGCCAGCCGCTGCTGTGTGGCGATCTTCTCCCTCGCCAGCCGTTCCATCTCATGCTCATACTCCTTCTCCTTCCTCTTTAGGGACTGGGGACAGGACAAGGGACAGGAGGATACACTGAGCAGCAGCCACAGGCTGCATGGTACCTCAAAACCTCACGTCACATCAGCAGACCTACAGGGACATTGCAGTGACAAGGGGCCTGGTGGGACCTGAGCCACTGGAGACCAGGCCTGCTAATGCTTCTGAGCACTGTGGGATCTTGAACACATACCACTGAAAGCAAGCAGATTCAGGCCAGCTTGGACCCAAGTATGAAGGCCCTCTCCTACCCCTACCTCAGCTCGTTTCTGAAGGACTCACCGCTTCTTGCCTCATCTCTCTACCTCCACTCCAGATGCCTCCACTATCATTCCTTCCCTCTGCTTAGTCACTGACACCACAGGCTACTCCTCAGAACCTGTTCCCCCAAGAACCCCAGAAGGATCTTACACTTCTCTCCACCTCACCATTTGCTTTTCCCCTTTGGTAACCTTGTCCTTGGAGATGGCAAGCTAAACTTTGGGACAGCATTCTCTCATCTCCTTCTCGCCAATTACCTTTTTGCACAGGGTTAACACAGCTCTAATCTGTCCGTTCACATCCCATTTCCAAGCTCCCTTCTACACATACATCTTTCTCCTGTCTCTACAATCTCCTGACTTTCGTCTGCACCAGCTGGTGTTGGAACTAAATCTTCAGATCTCAGCCTCCTAGTAGCCAAGATTACAAGTGTGAGCTACTGGCACCCAGCCCAAGTATATCTCTCTCTGTCTCTCTCTCTCTTTTATTGGTTGTGGGGCTTGAACTCAGGGCCTGGGCACTGTCTCTGAGCTTTTGTGCTCAAGGCTAGCACTCTACCACTTTGAGCCACAGCTCCACCTCTGATTTTCTGGTGGTTCACTGGCAACAAGAGTCTCATGGAGGGCTGGGAAGGTGGCTTAGTGGTAGAGCGCTTGCCTTGCATGCATGAGGCCCTGGATTCGATTCCTCAGCACCACATAAGCAAAAAGAAAAAACCCAGAAGTGGCACTGTGGCTCAAGTGGTAGAGTGCTAGCCTTGAGCTGAAGAGCTAAGGGACAGTGCCCAGGCCCAGAGTTCAGGTCCCACGACCGGATCCCCCCCCCTCCAAAAAAGAAAAAAGTCTCATGGATTTTTCTGCCATGTCTGGCTTTGAATCATGATCCTCAAATCTCAGCCTCCTGAGTAGTTAGGATTATAGGTGTGAGCCACCAGTGCCAGACTCCATCTTTATTTTTTTCCAGTCTTGGTACTTGAACTCAGGGCCTAGGCACTGTCCTTGAACTGCTTTTGCTCAAGGCTAGCACTCTACCACTTGAGCCACAGAGCCTCTCTGGCCTTTTCTGTGTATGTGGGTACCGAAGCATCGAACCAAGGGCTTCATGCACGCTAGGCAAGCACTCTACCACTAAGCCACACTCCAGCCCCCAAGTCTATTTCTTGATCTGTTCTTGAGCACCTGGCCTCTCAAGGCCTGGGGAATATGTCCGATATATGGGCTCATCACATACTAGAACCACTATTTCTCTTGGTTTTCCTCTTTGAACCCTATCTATCTCAATGCCTAAACATTTGCAAACCCTCCCATCTTCACCAGTCTGTCTCACTAAGCCACATCCCAGCCCCCCAAGTCTATTTCTTGATCTGTTCTTGAGTATCTGGCCTCCAAGGCTTGGGGAATATGACCAAGTATATGGGCTCCTCACACACTAGAACCACTATTTGTCTTGGTTTTCCTCTCTGAACCCTATCTATCTCAATGCCTATACATAGACTCTCCCATCTTGTTTGCTCCTGCTCCAAGACCAAACCTGGGTCCCCACCCCTCCACTATCCTTCTTCAGCTCAAAACCTGGCCAGGAATTCATGACTAGCTTGATCAAATATCTGAATATTAAATTAGATACTATCAGATGTCCACCAAAATAGCTGATATGTGTAAATATTTTGTTTTCGTACCTTGTCCCTGCCCAATATGTGAAAGAAGGTAAGGACTGCTCTCCATTTTATTCATTTTATTCCCCTCAGTACCCTACCAAGACAGGATGATAAGCAGAGTGCTTACCAGCCTCAAGGAAAGATCTATGAGCATGTCTGTCCCTGCTCTGGCTCTGTGCAGTCTTACCCTTTCATCTTAAGGAGAAAGAATCACAGGAACTAAGTGCACTGGAGACCTTTATGCATCCACACCCTAGAGGCTGTCTTACTGTTGTGGCAGCTTTTCTTGACTGTATATAGCAATGCCTTAAACCTCACTAATCCATTTGGGCCCCACTGCCCTACACTCCTTTGGCCCCAAACTACTGACCTCTGACCAGTGAGAAATGACTCAAACTATCAGTGCCGAGCCACATAATGCAGATACAGTCATACTCTGTACTGGCCTTGACCACACAGCCCCCTTCTACTACCCTTACTTTAACTTGTTTTTCCCACATTCTGTTAGAAAGAGTAGAAAAGACACCTTCTACCCCGCCCTTCCACACCTGTGTGGCTTCTCTCATGGCTCTACCCTGGGCCTGCACATGATATCACAGGAGGCTACATCAATGGCAGGCCCCTGGTAACTTAGCTATCATTGGAACCTGGTGGCTGGCTGTAACTGCCACTCTGAAATCTACTGGCTTTCAGGGAGGCCAGACTTTTAGATCAGGAGCCAAGAGCTCTTCTTCCCACAGTGGAGTTCTCTACAGGCATACAAGTGGCTGGAAAGTTTCCCCAGAGACTAACTTCAGCCTATACAGTTTCATTTTTGGTTTGCCCTGGTGATACTGACAGTCAGACGCACAGCTTCATGCACACTAAGCAAGCATTCTACCCACTGAGTTACTTCATTTTAGACTCACTTCCTCTCTGTGATGACCTAGATGCATGCCTGTTCTTCCTCTGCTCTGTTCTCTATGGCGGTCTTCTAGTCCTATACCACCTCTAGGTTCTGCTGGGTCTCTTGCCCTCCATAGCCTCCTGCTCTGCACACAATACCAAAACCCTCATCCGCACATCTTTTACTTCTGAAAAGGCATCTTCCTCCCTCCAACACTATCTGAATTGCCTCCTGAGTTTATCCAGATATATCCAGCATGTCTCAAATGTCTTCCTCGACAACTTGCCTGGGGTCCCTCTCACTTCCTAGTCAGCCCAGCCAGGAGCCTAAGGAGCTTCATTCTGCTGCTTCTGAATCTCTGAATTATTTCCAAATCCACTTGTTATGCAAGACTCCCCAAGTATGCATCTGTAGAGGAACTTGCCAGTTCATCCTTCTACTCAGCAACGATTCCTAATAACTTTTACAGTGCCTGAGGTTATTTGCATGAATAAACTCAATTCTCCTAACATCTCCTTGGCACGACTAGTTTTTCAACTTCACCATACAGAAGTTGCTATTCGCAGAAAATATCACAGCCTCTCAACAGGAATTTGTCAAAAGGCCACTTGGCTAAAGACAAATTATGCCCTAAGTTACAACCTTCAGTTCTGCAAAAAAAAAAAAAAAATCCTAAAATAAGCTATTTGACCTTCCACTGCATCCACCAGACCCCGGGTAACCCGGAGCCCCACCCCCGCTCCGCGGGTTTTCCCCCTCCACCCTAGCCGCAAGAGGCCCCGCCCCTTCGGAGCACGCGCTCACCCACGCGGCCTGGCTTTGCTGCGTCACTCCCGCCAGCCGCACCCTCCCTCCGCGCGCCCAGGTACCCCGCCCCAAGTCTGGCTCGGCCAATCAGCGATGCTGCCCTGCCCCCTCCTGGCTGCCGGGAAGCGAACGGGAAACGGGCCAGTCCCTCCCCCTCGCTAGGGAGGGCGGGCGGAAAGGCGCGAGTTTGCCGGCGGGGGAGGGGGGAGGGGAGAGCGCGCAGGGGGGGTTGCGTAGCGGCGCCTGGGTCTTGCAGCAAGTCAGGTTCGGGCTGCTTCGGGAGGGCCGGCTTCTTGGACATCTCTCCTCTCACCCCCCCCATCCCGAAAGCTTCCCAAATGGGCCAACAGGGAGACCCTGAGGCGTCACCCCGCCCGCGCGGCAGGGAGCCCTAAGCGCCGCCCACCTCCTCAACGGCTCGCGTCTCCGAGGCCGCCGAGCGCGGCGCGCGCCCATCCCCCGCCGCCCCGCGCGCCGAGCCTGCAGCCGGTTTCCAAGGAAACCGGAACTCCAGGCCGTCATGGCAACTGCCTTATCGGCTCGCTCCCCACGGCAGGCAGCGGAGGGGCGCCCGCCCAAGGGAGGGGACCGACAGCCTAGAGGGTCCACTGCAATTTAAAACACAAAACAAAAACCCTTTCTTTCAACCATGGCAGAAGGGAAACCCATTTTTTTTTCTTTTCAGTGAGCCCAGAATTGTGTGTCACCCAAATCGCTGCATTCGCCTTTTCAGGTCGTGGCCTCTCGGTGCCTACGCCATCCCGAGGGGGGATCTTAAGCCTGGCGGACAGAAGGAGCGCTTCACCAGCCCGCTGCCAGGGAGGGAGGTTCCGCCCAGGAGTTCCCCCACCTTCCTGTCCCACTTATTGCCACTAGCGACAGTCGCTCGGGCCAAGTCGGGTTCCCGCCCTAACGGGGGGCGGGGCGATGCCAGTCACTCGCGCCCTAGTCACGCGCGCTGCGCTCGCACATTGCCAAGCGAGTCAGCGGCGCTGCCTGGGGCCCGCAGACGCCGCGCGCGCGCGCGCGGGAGAGGAGAGCACCACCCCCCTGCCGCGCACGCGCCCTCCCGCGCACGCGCCCTCCGCCACCCCCCTCCTCTCGGGCTGGGAGCCCCGCTGACGTCAGCGGGGCCATGTGCTCAGCGCCCGCGTGGAGGCGGGCGGGGGAGCCGGCGAGCGCGGGAGGGCGGGGCAGGCTGCGGAGCAGGAAGCTGGCGCTGCGGCCTGTGGCGGCACCGCCCGGCCCGGCTTCCCTCCCCCATACCTGGATGTACCGCAGCGCCGTCCGCAGCACACTCAGATTCGATGTCTTCTTGTCGTCCACATTGGGGATGTTGCGCTTCAGGGTCTCAAAGCACTCCTTTAGATGGGCCCTCCTGAGGGAGAGGGAGCGAGCTCGAGTCAGCCAGCGCCCCAGACTGGGGAGAGGAAGGAAGGCCCCGGGGCGGGGAGGGGGGGAAGAGGGGAGCTAGGGGAGACCCAAGGTGGGCAAATCCCGGGGGAGGGAGGGAGGGAGGGGCTGGGGCCCCCCGAGTCACACACGCAGGTGCGTGCGGGCGCACGCACACACACACCTGTTTTTCTCCAATTTGTTGTGAACTTCTCTGGTTCCGATCCTGAAACCCAGACAGACAGGAGGCTCAGAAAGGGCCTTGAATAGGCAGCCTTCCTGAGCCCCGCTGCCATCCCTCCCAAATGCCACAGGCTTTTTGTCCCCAACATTCTTTAATAGCAGCAATGGGCAATGAAAAGTGTTTGCCCTATGCAGAACCCCTATCCCCACTCCCCCTTCTCAGGGCACAACTAGGCTCTTAATCCACATGCCCTGTAACCCTCTATCCCTCCCGGTCAACTATAGAGACAGACAGCTCAGATGCTGTGGCTGTGAGCAGCCAGTTGACCCTGGTCCCTTCCCAAAGGCCTGGAAGTAGCATAAGCCCCTGGGTGATGGCATTGGAGAGGGTCTGAGAACAAGAAGGTAATGGCCATTCATTCTCAGGACAGAGAAAGCTTAGTGAGAACAGTGTCTGGCCTGTGCAAATACAGGAGGTACTTCTAGATTGGGCATGACATGCTGGGAAGGGTACTTTCTCTTGCACACAGCCCAGGGACCAGACAAGTTCTCTCCATCCCTCCGGCCCCACTCCCCACTCACCCCCCAGGCCTCTTCTTCTGTTCACTGGATTTGGCTTCTTCAGCTGGTGCCAACTTCAGGGTCCCAAGCGTGGGTGGGGGTGGCTGCTGGGGGGCCAGCTGAGGCTGTACCCCAGGGTGGGGTGCTATGGTCAGGATGGGTGTGGGGAGGGGCTGCAAAGGCTTGGGGCTGCCAGTAGGTGCAACAGTGGTCTTCGAGTCCGGCAGTACAGGAGCCGGGGTGTGCACTTGAGGCCTGGCAGGCAACGGGGCAGGCTCCTTAATGCTGAGTCCAGGAGTGCTGACCAGGGCTGGCTGACGAGGTGCCAGGGGCAGAGGCTGGGCAGCAGGGGGCAGTGGTGGGGGTGGGGGCAGTGGCTGGGCAGAGTTGGTCACTACAGGAATGGGAATGACAGTCAGTGGAGTGGGAGTGGCAAGTGGGGGTGGAGGTGCTGGTGGGGGAGCTGGTGGGGACAAGGGCAGCGGGGGTGCCTCGATGCGGGGTTCCTCCACAGGTAGGGCATGTGCTAGCCTGGCCAAGCTACTGGCTTTCTTCTGTTCCTGCTCCCGCTCCCGCTCCCGTTCGCGTTCCAGACGAAGCCGCTCTTGCTCCTCTATGCAAAGAAAGAACACATGGGAGGGAGTCTCAGCAGGGCTGATGGCTGTGGGTCCTGCTTCACCCAGTCAGTGTTCCACGATACCCCTTGTCCAGGAAAGAAAGGGTTCAAGGAAAGGTAAGTAGAAGCTGTGAGGGTGTAGGCTTGACAACCTGAAGCTTGAGTGGGTAAGGCAGGTGACCAGCCAGGAGTGTCCAGAGGGACAAGAGGGAAAGATGAGGTCAGAAAGCTGGGCAGAGGCCAGCCACCATAGAAGAATGGAGGCAGCTTTCACAGTATTTACAAGGCACCTGTTAGAGAGCAGGTAGTACTTTTATTTCACAGATGTTATAAATACAGACAGGCCCCTGCACTTCACAGATGCAGTAAATGAACACAAGAGAGGTCACACAGCAAGATTAACACCTAGCCAGATGCCTAGTACTTTCAATGTCAACATGAACTTGCATACGTTCACATCCCCAATCCTCACAAGAGCCCCAAGTCACAGGTAGGGCAGGGATATCACCTTTATGAGACAATCAGGACTTCTAAACTCCCAGACCAGTCCTAAGGCCTCTTTGTGTTCTAAAGAGACTATAAACATACTTGCCCCTTCTGTTAGGATTCATTTCTCCCAATCCCTTCTGTTCCATCAACAGCAACAAAAACTAGAAAGGTAAGAGGCAGGAGGAAAGGTAGGCTGGATTCTTTAGCAGAGGCAGAGCAGGAGCATGGACTCAGGCTACCTTCACTGGTCACTTCCTTCAACTCCTCTGTTGAAAGCCAAGCAGGATGGTGAGGCCTGCTCAGGAGCTGATAGAGAACAGAAGGAGCAGAGCCTCTCCCTACCCTCCCAGTGCTGTCCTTTCCCAGCCCTGCATAGGGCTGCACGGACTCAAGACAAGCAGGAAGTGGACAACCAGCCTCTTGCTCCTGCTGCATTCACCACTGTGTGAATGAGTGGACACAGCAGTGAGTGGACACACCCAAATGTGAGTTGAAGCTGGGGGCAGAACAACCTCTACAAGTGTTACTGGCTCAGAGGCCCAAGGCCCTTTGGCCAAGGGACACCTTCAGAGTCTCCAGGGCAGCTGCTGGCCCTGCCCACAGGGAAGAAGCCCAAGGAGGAAACAGAGGGGAAGTATTCAGAGTAAAGCTCTCCGTGGTTTCCCAGCAGCCAGGGCTCAGGGCTGCCAGTCACAGGGCCTCTCCTGATCATCCCTGCCCTTCAGGAAGCTAAGCCGCCAAGCTGGGCAGGCCTGCTCCAATGTGGGGAGGCCTTGCTTTTCCAGGCCTCTCCACACCTGCCCTGGCTTAGATTACAGCACTAGAGAAAACCTGTTCCTTGTGTTCCAGTTTCCCACAAACCACACTGGCAAAAAAGCCTTGCTGAATTCCAGCTCCAGACTGCTGGCAGGCTGGGCCTGGCAAGATAAGGCCCTTCAGCTCCCCATCTCCACTTCTTCAACCCAGAATCCAAACATCCATTAGCCTAGGAGCAAATACTCTACTCTCAGACAGGGACCCAAGGACAGGTGTCCTGGGAACCTAGACAAATCCTATATTTTAAAGCAAATCCAAAGCTCACCTAGGAGATGGCAACCTCCTTCCTTCCCCTCCCCTCTTCCAGAGGCAGGGAGACATGTCTCCCAGGTGCCAGGAAAAACCTGGTGAATGGCAAAGGTGCATCACACTTGGCCTAGCATGAGCAACTCTGGAGGGAGAGAGGGAGGCTGTCTTAGGACGGAACCAGTCACCAATGCTTTCTGTCCCCAACCACTCATTTTCTACCCAAAGAGACCCTCTCTAGGGCACTGAAGGGCCAAATACACAGGTGCTAGGGCCTTCCTCAAGAGCAATCTGCAGATTTCAACCATTCTGTACTCACAGGTATACATACGCCCTCTCGCATACATACATGCACACTCATCTCCCTGGGACCTACCCAGGTGCTGCCCCACCCCCAAGAATTTATCATGACCCTTTGGGATAATCCAGGGCCAAAGGCCCAGAGAGCAAGATTGCAGGAGTGCTACTAGCAATCTTTTTTTTTTTCTTTTCTTTTCTGGTCCTGTGGCTAGCACTCTACCACAGTGGCCAATTCTGACTTTTTTTGGCTAGTTTTTTGGAGATAAGAGGCTCCTGGCCTTTCCTGCATGGGCTGACTTCGAATCTCCACCTCAGATCTCAGCCTCCTGGGTAGCTAGGATTACAGGCACAAGCCACTACACCAGCTACCTGCAATCTTTTTAAGCTATAGGGGCCTAGGAACTTAGGCACAGGGTTCCAGGTTAAGGGGGTCCACAAATGTGCACACTTTGTGGTCCCAAATGTGCACAGCAGTTTTCCCCTTCAACAGGCTACCAGGGAGCTTGGCAAACAAAGCAGACCCAGGGCAGGACATGGACAGGTGTCTCTGGATACTCTGCCTAGCATCCTCCAATCAAGGGAGTAGAGCCCAAATTACCCCTGGGAAGACCAAATTAAGCCATCTTGCAGAACAAAAGAGGGCCTTGCCCTTCCTTTCTTATTTTTTTCTCACACAGGCTCCAATGTGCACCCATCCTCAGGTTCATCCATCATGTAAGCCAACTATATGGTTTAGGCCAGAAAACCTGCCCTTGAGGTTGAAGGAGGAATGGACAGGAGAATTTCTGTTCAGAGCTGATCATCGGGTTCACATCCCACCCTCTTCTCTCCCATCCTTCCTGCTCCAGGATAGAGGATAGAATCTTAAGAAGAAGAAAGGGAATTCAGGAGGTTAAACTGCTGAGACCAGGTCTGGCCAATTCTAGACAAGAGATGCATGTTTTCTTGGAATAGATTAGGCTTTTTAGCACCATCCATCTCCCAAGACTCCCTGATTCAGCATCAAGAAGCTCTGACCCAGTAGCTGAACTTGGCTAACCCCCAGTTCTCACCACCTGGGGGAGGGGCAGGGCTCTGCAACTTCTTAGGAGAGCTATTCCCCAACTGCTTTGCCTGCAAAGCAGCTTACATCACCCACCTCCATCTAACTGACCAGCCCTAGGCTTAATTGGGGAGGAGTAGAAGGGATGACAGGGATGGTCTTCTCCCTTTCCCCACATGGCCTTTCAGCCTTCAGTCAGGTGAGAGTGAAAAGAGGGTACACCCGGAGGCAACAGCAGGTCAATTCTGTTCACCTTGAGCACTCCTCTTGGTGTCTTTGCATAGGGACACAGATTGACACTCCCGATTGGCATTGTGTTGACAGTGGCAGGAGGTAACTCAGCGTCCCCAGACCTAGTGCTTATTCCTCCCTCTCCCCCCTACAGCTGAGACTGCACACAGGACATTCTGGTTAGTGCATTGTCCGTTGCCTCACCCGGCTCCAGACGCCCCCAAACAAGGGAGAGGAACGTGTAGGCTGATGTCCCAACCCACCAGTTCTGCAAACCCAGACACTTGAGTCTGGCACACCTCTAGTGACTCTTGACCTTGAGAAGCCAGTCCGATCGGACTAGGCCTGCGGACCCATAGCTCTCCCTCCCCTTGCTGGCTACCGCCCCCCCCTCCTCCGGCGCCTCTGTAGCAGCGGCACAGGCTGCAGGAGCGCGCGCGCGCGCGCACACACACACCACACACTACTACCTCCTGCATGACTCATCATTGAAGCAACAATAGGCAGCGAGAACGGAAAGGAGGGCGAAGCACTCGCTACCACAACCCACCGGTCGAGGAGTGCTAGGGGGTCTGGGAGGGGACGGGAGTCCCGGGGAACTGCACCCATACGGTTCGGGGGCTGAAGCCTCCTTGACAGTGTGGAGATCAGCAGTCTTTCTTTCCTCAGTCCGTATCTCGGCAGCACCCCTAAGGCTAGCGACCAACCACCAAGGGTGCGTGGGGCGGACCATAAAATCCTAGTGTCTCTGCTCTGAGGAAGAAATGCCAAGGTTTACCCCTTTTCAGTGTGGATCACTGCAGCCGGTGCCGGGCCACGAAGGACTGAGGAGAAGGGTTTTTTTTTTTTTGGGGGGGGGGTAGGTCGAGAAATCTGAGTCCTAAATGTCTTGCCACTCTGGGATTCTGAGGGTTTCCCTCCCCTCAAGAGCAAATACAGGAAGATTAGGCGAGAATCGAGAGGTGAATTTCGCTCCTCCTTCCCAGGGCAAAGGCTCTCTCTCCCAGGGAGAAGCCCAGCGGCCCGATCCCGGGCCCAACCCGGCGCAAGGTTCCAGGCCGGCCCCGCCCAGACCCCGCCCCCGGCCGAGCGCGAGTCGGGGAGGAGGGGCCGGGCCCCGCCGTCCCCAGCGGGAGTGTCCCCCGTGCACGTGGTCGGGGGCGGGGCCCATCCACGTCACCACCCGGTGTAACCAACGGGCTTGGGACGCAGGCACACGCAACATTCCAGCCGAGAGCGGGTTTGGAAGGCGTAGACACGCCACATTCCACACCGGCTAAAGCCGGGTTGAGCGAGGGGGCCCAGGAACCGGCCCCGTCGACTCGTGGGGCTTTTGCAGAGACGCCCAATCAGCCCGGCTTTCACTCAAACCCCAGGCGCGGGATCCAGCCCAGCCCTGGGAGGCGGGGTCAGGCGGGGCTGGCTAGGATCATAAGACACGCGATGTCATTTCATTCTGCAAAGGCCGCCTCCGCCCCGAGCGGCGCGTAGATCTGCCGGGAGCGCCCCCCCCCCCTCCTGCCGGGACCAGGAAAGCCGGAGAGCTGCTCCGCGTAGAGTAATCCCCACCCCCACCCCGTTACACACACGCCCACTCGTGTGCTGTACACACGTCGGTGTACACGTCCGTTCGTCTGCTCTCCGAGGTTCCCATTACACATCTCCCTGCACGCACGCACACGCGGGTCTGCCACCCCCACGTAACACCAACCCTTGCCCCAACCCCCGGTTCACACATCCTCAATGCTACCCTGGGTGCCGCCGGCCCACGCGGCAGGAGCCCCCCACGGATAGTGCACGGGGGTGCCAGGCTGCTAGGGTGGCGCCCGAATGAACCAGGTCCTTTGCTGCATGTTAATGAATTGATTAATTATTTTCACTGCCCACATCATTCCTCCCGGGCGGCAGCTCGGGGGGGGGGGAGAAGCTACGGGCTGCCGCCGAGGAGGGGGGGGGGCGCTTGGGGTTTCGTGTGGGTTCAGGGACCAGGGTCACTCGCCTCCCCTTGCCCGGTGCCCCAGGGGCCCAGCCCGGCCGCTCACCACGTGCTCTCTGTTGTTGCTGAGCTTGCCATTCCAGGAAGCGGGCGGCCTCCAGTAGCGTCTCGATGCTCATCGCGCCGAGAGCAGCCGGGGGCGCGCCGGGGCCGAGGCTGCGGCCCGCGAGCCAGGCACAGGTCAGGCTGGCGGGCGGGCAGGAGGGAGGGATCACCTCCGGGGGGCGACAGGGCTGGGCGGCGCAGCGCACTCCTCAGGAAAGAACGGGGGAGCACGGATAGAAAAATCAATGTCTCCCAAAATATTTGCAAAAAGATAAATCTGCAAAAAAAAAAAAGATCCCCCCCAAGAGGCGGCACTGCCTCCCTTTCTTGCCCTCCCTCTTTTCCTCCCTTCTGATGCCTCCCGCCCCGCGGCCCCCGGGAGTCCCGCCGACAAGAAAGGGCTTTGCAACAAGATGGCGAGGAGGCACCGACACACACAACAAGGGAAGGAGCCGCGCTGCCCCCGGCCGCCGCCCCCGCTACTACACCGGGGCCGCAGCCAAAGCCCGGACCGGAGCCCCCGCCCGAAGGGCCGGGTCGTCTCACGGAGGGAGAGGCGGGGTCGCGCGCTGGGTGGCCCCGCCCACTATAAACGGCGCGCGCGCACGCGCGCGCACGTGGCTTAGGTGGGGGAGGAAGAGAGAATCGGGTTTGTTGCGCCCGTTTTCCGCTTTCCCACCTCGCCCCGCCCCGATGACAAGCCACAAGTTGAGCAAAGGGTGAAGCGCTCGGGTCATTCTCGTCGTAATCTCGCCTGGTTGAAAGGAAGAGTGGAAAATTCAAGACTGAGGTTAACTGAGTTAAGGCTAGGCTGGTTAAGGAAATTTATGACCGGACGCTTAGGTCCCCGCTCCCCTCCCACACGCGACCTAAATCCCGCAACTACCCGACTGTCGCAATTCGCCCCCCCCTCGCGGGATCCGCCCCTGGGCGGAGCTGACGACAGCAGGCTGCCGGAGAGCCGGCGGAGCGGAGGGCTGATCCGGCTCCGGGTTTTGTCTCCGTTCCTCCCCCCGCAGTGCGTTCGCATCCTATTAGACTACGTAATCGGGCCGCGGGCCAATGGGCGGGCAGGACAACACGGCATGGAGCAGCTCCACATGGACACCCCGCACCGCCAGCCTTCTGTTTAAAGGGCCAGTGTCTGAAGGGTCACATTTGAGGGTTCGGACGGGGCCATAGGTGAACACCGGTTTCGATAACTTCCTGAAGTAGTGACCAGGTCCATCCTCTACATCACCCTCTCATTTCAAACCAAGTCACTTCTTCCTCTAAATTTTTTGTCTTTGTCCACGCGTGTCTGGCGTGGGTGGAGACTCCGACAGAGCCACCCCAGGGGCCACCTTTTGCTCTGGGCCGAGGCGGCAGCGGTCAGGGGGAAACAATTAAAGCGCGCGTGAGGGGGGGTGTGGTCCAAATCGGGAACAACAACGTGGAGGGCGGAAGCCCGGTCCTCCTGGCCACTGGGCCACAGGAGGCCGCGGGCGGGGTGCGGGGCGGGGTCGCCGCGTCTAGCTTGAACTTCGGTCTCCCGGAGGCCCGGCGCGCCCGCCCTTCTCTTCCGGGCTCCAGTGCTTAGGGGCGCCAAAGGTACAATCGGAAAGTCAGACCTGGAGGCCAGCCGGCCCAAATCCTCTCACTTTACTGATAGAAAAACTGAAGCCCTGAGACAGGAAGGGACTTGTCTACGATCATTCCCCATCCCTGCTGCTCCTTGTCCCAAAAGGAAGAGCATTATCCTTCTTTGAAGCCAGTTCAGAGGCAGGACTCCCAACTAGAAAAAAGCCGGGGCGTCGGGGAAGGGGGGGAGTGGAAGGGGGTGGGCCACTTAACATATGATTGGGCAACTGACGTTTCCTTTGGCTGAATACTCAACCCTACTGTTTGGCTTCTTTGATGGAGGTCACACCATTCCCACTGGTACAATTGGTAGTGACAGGCTCCAGCTGGCTGAAGGGATATTTGGGGCACCCTGGAGCATATCCAGTTCTGCTGTCCGAATGCTAGGCATAGGACATAACCTTAGTTATGGTTCCAAGTGCCTTGTCAAACCAGTCAAGGAGAGTGGGACTGTGCCCAGTGGTGTCAGGAGCCTAGTTGGGGCCTGGGCTTCAACACGCTGCCAAACTATCGCATCCACACTGTGCCCTCAGAAGCGTATGTGCCAGTTTCCGGGACCAGCTGAAAAAGAGCCAGTAGAGAGAACTAGTACAAATTAATGCTTGGTGGTTTTACTCGTTTACTCCTTTATGCTCGTTTATGACCATCACAGTGAGAAAGAAAACTGCAGGGAAGATCGTAGCAATCAGTCCCCTCTCCAATGCTCCAGCATCTGTACAGCATGAAGAGACCATCAAACATAAATATCTGGGTGACACTGATTTTGATGATGTTTGAGTACCCTTTTCCTAGGAAGGCTAGATCTGCCCTTACATTGCTTCCTTCACAATGTTTGTAAGATTTACTAGGTTGGACCTGGCCCACTCTGTACAACTTGAGAAAAGGGATACTTGAGCTGAAGGTGTGCCTTAAATGGTAGGGCACTTTATGCCTGGCAAAGCATAAAGCTCTCAATCCAAACCCCAGTACCATCTAAGTTTTTTTTTTTTTTGTTGGTTGTGGGGCTTGAACTCTAGGCCTGGGCACTGTCCCTGAGCTCTTCAGCTCAAGGCTAGCATTCTACCACTTGCGCCATAGTGCCACTTCCGGCCTTTTCTGTTTATATGGTGCTGAGGAATTGAACCCAGGGCCTCATGCATTTGAGGCAAGCACTCCACCGCTGAGCCACCTTCCCAGCTCCTAATGATAATTACTCTGGAGCTTAGCAGTAGAGCACCTTCCTAGCAAGTCCAAGTCCCTCAGTACTGCCAAAAATTTAAGGGGAGCAGGGAAGGGGGGGGAGTATCCTACTCCATAGTGACTTGAGATATTGGCCAAGTTCTCATATTGCTTGGGATCAACACTAGAGCATTCACCCACGGAGCTGCATCTAGCCTGTCTGCAGGTAGTAATGGCACTCACATAGACCTAAGCCTTTCTAGAGGCTAAGTCCAGTTTTGCTAGACTCTTCTCACTAGGGACCAGCTCTGTATCATTAAGAAGGCACCACTGTGAGCAGTATTTGGAAGGCCTTTTTTTCCTGTTGGGATGAAACTGGAGATACAAGTGAGGTGAACACAGAGTTGAATACTGGTCATTCTCAATACATCTGGCCCAGAGCTTAGTGGAGATGCATGCTATTTAAAACAAACAGCCTTACTGGCTTCACATGATCATCTGTTTATTTGGGTCATATCAGGGACAGCAGCCAGGGGAGGTTAGGCAAAAACTAGACTTTGGAAAGGTGGTTTTTTGCTGGGCTTGTTGCTTATGGGAGCCTGAAAAATGGCCCAACAGAATTTCTCATCAACTATGGTTTCCTCAGTTGGGGAATGAATAGTGTAGGTAGAGACTCCTGTAAGGAGGGAACATAAGAGTGGAGAGGAATGAATAGAAGGGGTGTTTAACATTTCAAGCCAGTTTCCTGTTCCAAGGGGGTGGAGTAACGAGAGAAGCTGGCAAATGTATCACTCAAGGGAAAGATATTTTTGCCTGTTCAGCAGAAAGCGTAGTGATCTAAAGTTGGTCCTAAAGTTTCTTTATGACTTCTCGCTTGTAGGACCTTTGGGGCAGAAGAACACCTGGGACACCCATCACTGTGCATTTCCTGAGAGGATGTTGATCCTCTTTTTCAATCTTTCTCCTGTCCTATGTACTCTGATGCCCTGTTCAAATCTTATTTCACTCACTAGTTTTTATTTTTTATTTTTTGGTTGGTCGTGGGGCCTGAACTCTGGGCTCTGAGCTCTTCAGCTCAAGGCTAGCGCTCTACCACTTGAGCCACAGCAACACTTCCGTGTTTTTTTTTCTTTTCTGCTTATATGGTGCAGAGGAATCGAACCCAGAGCCTCATGCATGGGAGGCAAGCACTCTACCACTGAGCCACTTTCCCAGTCCTCACTATTTTTGAATGTGCTGAGCTAGAAACATTTCCTTATGGGACTGTCTACCACCACCCCCCCCCAAAAAAAAACAAAGTTGTATGTGGACTTCTTCCAAGCAATGAGAAGGGGGGAGGGGGCGAAACTGAAAGCACAGATACACTAGAACCCACAAGCTGAAAATGGAGCTGTGGCTCAAGTGACAGAGCAAAAAAGCTAAAGGACAATGCCCACGTCCTGAATTCAAGCTCCAGTACTGGCACAAAAAAATACAGGGCTGGGAAGGTGGCTCAGTGGGAGAGGGCTTGCCTTGCATGCATGAGGCCCTGAGTTCGATTACTCAGCACCACATAACCAAAAACAAAAAAGCCAGAAGTGAGGGACAGCACCCAGGCCCAGAGTTCAGGCTCCACAACCGGACCCCCCCAAAAAAAAATTAAATAAAACAAAGAGAAACAAGCATGTTCTGCTTCTTGGAGGTCAATCTAAAAGAAATAGCCTGAGGGCTGGGAAGGTGGCTCGGTGGTAGAGCGCTTGTCTTGCATGCCTGAGGCCCTGGGTTCGATTCCTCAGCACCACATAAGCAAAAAGAAAAAAGCCGGAAGTGGTGCTGTGGCTCAAATGGTAGAGCGCTAGCCTTGAGCTGAAGAGCTGAGGGACAGCACCCAGGCCCAGAATTCAGGCCCCACGACCGGACCCAAAAATAAATAAATAAAATAAAATAAAAAATAAAAACAAAGTAGGCTTAAAGGCTGGATTAGTTAAATGAACCTGATTTCTGGTAAATCTATCAGAATGAACAAGATTAGGAGTAAAAGCAGGTACCCACTGGTCATGAGTGAAGTGGATTTCTTTACAGCAGTCTCACCTCCCTCCACCCCTTCCCAACTATGATAGATGAAAGGACTTCTCCAGGACCCACGCAACAGGTACAGTCTTGGTTCCACCTTCTTGTCCAGGTAAATTCCCCTCTTTGTTGTCTCATGCCACAGCTGGAAGAGTTGAGATCACCTGGCAGGACCTACCAAGAGAAGGTGTCTTAGGACCTGGGAAGGTGGCTCAGTGGTAGAGTGCTTGCCCTGCATGCATGAGGCCCTGGGTTCGATTCCTCAGCACCACATAAGCAGAAAAAAAGCTGGAACTGTTGCTGTGGCTCAAGTGGTAGAGCACTAGCCTTGAGCTGAAGAGCAGAGGGACAGCACCCAGGCTCAGAGGTCAGGCTCCACGACTGACCAAAAAAAAAAAAAAAAAAAAAGAGATGTCTTAATGATGGTCACCAAGGTGTCCAGTGGAGAAGGGGCCTAATCACAGTAATCAGAAGCAGGTGAAGAGGGGGAGTGAACTCCTCTCTTCCTCATTAAAAACATAATCATTAACTTCACTGAGAGCTGCTCCACAAAACTGAGTCCGTGAGTGAGAACTGGACTTGGATCCAGGA